AGCTAAATACAGCTGCCTCCAGCAGTTGTAGCTGCTGTCACACTGGGAACAGGCTCCAGCTGTTCCTCTGCCTCACTGCTGTCTGACTCTGAAGGCAGCTGGTAACTGGCATATGGCTCTGGCCCATGTGGTGGGATTAAAATAATTTAACAACTGGTTCTCTGACCTAATGACCATCTGGGTAGGAGGGGCTCGGTGGTCATGTGACCGTGGGGTCGTGGCCAACTCAATGTCATTCATGTTGACGGGCGCTTCACCTTAACTGTTACAATGGAATAAGGGTTAACTGGAGAGGCAGTTTCTGTAAGCAGGGTAAAATAAAGATTAGGCTAGAAACAACACTAAAATATTTCCTTCCTGCCTTCCTTACAGGATTAGCTCTGTAAAGTGGGAAAAAACAAAAGGAGATTTCTTCCAACAACCGGTTCTCTGAACTACTTAGAAAGTTACCAACCGGTTCTCCCGAATAGGTGCGAACTGGCTGAATCCTACCACTGCTTGTGACCTTCCCTCCCAGCTTCCTCATGAACTTGTCGGAAGTTGGGTGGGAAGGTCACAAATGGTAACCACGTGGCCACAGGTTGCTATGGCTGCATAACTGCAGGGATGCTGCAATGGTTAGAACTGTAAGGAAGCAGTAAGTCACTTTTATAAGGAGCATTGTAACTTCAAATGGTTGTAAGTGGAGGACTACCTGTATTTTGTTTGGTTCTGCCCACCAAACAAAGAAGATGAAGGATGCTGAGGAACTGGAAAGCGTGCAAAGGAGACGGATAAAAGTCGCCTTGCTTCTTGGAATCAGTACTGTATCACTGGAGGTTTTCAAGCAAAAGTTGGACAGCCATTTGTCTGAGATGGTATGAAGAGTCCTGCTATGGCCAGGAAGTTGGACTCCAAAGTCCCTTCCAGTTCTATCTCTAATCCCACGTAGCTTTCCACCAGCAATACAGGGATAATAATTACTTGCTACTTTTCAAGAATATTAGAAGGCTGGGAAAGGGAATATTTACAAAATAGCTTGAACACTGTAATAAATAGAATATCTGGTTTCTCAAACCCCACCTTTCTCCACCCTCATTTACAGGAGCTTTGGGCTGCAGATATTTCCTTGGTGCAAGAGTTTATGTTTACTTTCTTGTCAGATCCATTGAGAGTAATTGAAGAACCTTATTTTTCTTCAGATGAGGTAAGACTTCCAAGAATCTTACTGGGGAAAAAATAGAAGAATAATGATAGGGGCAGCTGGCTTTACAATTCTCAAATCATTGATATCAGTGTTATGTGCTGCACTGTAGTAGGTAATGCTGCAATGTATTATAAAGGTCAATTCATATGTGGCAGGAAAGGAACATTGTAGCAAGTTATCTTTCCTTTTTTTCTTCAGGTCTTTTCTTGCAATTTAAAATATTAAATAAGTTGCAACTTTGACTTTTCTAAGAAGAGAGAAAAGACTTCTCGTTGGTAATTGCTGGAATTATATTTAATTGGTTGTAATAATACTGGGCAATTATGTAGTCCTAGAAATTATAAGTAAGGATAATTAGTCTGAGGTGGAACATAGATAATTATATAGAAAGCATGCAGTTGATTGGGGGAGGGGGTTGTTGTTTTCTAGACCTAGTAGAAAGTACTAGTGTTGGCATGGAATGTTATCTCAGAAACAATCTTATCTTGTCTAGAATATTCTCCAAGGCAGATGTGAAGGATCTGTCTAGATAAGCCAAGGACTTCTTAAGCAATTGGCCTTTTGCCAGCACAGTTTTGAGATTGAAACAAAGTAGTTGTTCCAGACAGTTTTTGAGTCACTGGTCAATTTGTTATCACCCTGAATGCTTACTCTCTCTCACCTTCTTTTTTCTGAGGGAGACGGGCTGTTTAGAAATAGGAAGTATAAATAAAATAAAATAAATAAATATGAAACTGCTGGTTGAAGTCATCTGCTAGTTTGAGGTTTGGTATTATCAGCATGCTGATATAATACCCAATTGTATCTTTTGACTTTGGACCAGAAAATGATTGTCAAGATTTTGTTCCAGAGCATGGTTGTGTGGGTTTGGATGGGGATAACCTCCAACTCCAACTCATTACCACCAAGACCTAGTGACTATGGGTGTTTCAACCATCCAGATTTGGGTATATTCCCACTTTGACCTTGAATGGTGTTACACTTTTGGTGTGTAGTTGAGTTTTTCCTGGACTCAAAGATCCTGCTTCAAAAGCAGGGGTCAGTTTTGGCTACGAAGACATGTACATAATTTTGTCCAGTGAGCCAAGTTGTGTTCTTTCCTAAATTGGGAGGGCTTTTCAGATAGTCACTCATGCTCTAGTCACTTCACAACTTGATTACTGTAGTGGAACCGATCTTGAAGACCACCCAGAAACTTCAACTGGTCTATATCAAATTTTCTCAATCAGACTCCCTTCCAGCATTGTAATTTAGCGTGTTTTCCAAATTATGAGAGCTGTAATCCAATGCATCTTGGGAGAGTCAGGTGGGGGAAGTCTGAAAAAATACCTGAAATTTGGGGATTTTAGTGTTCCATCTTTCACCTCCCAACCCCTACTTCCATTTCCCCCCCCTTCTTGTACAGTTTCTCACCTTCCTGTTTTCCAAAGAGAACAGCATCTGGAACTCGGAGTTTGATGCCATACGCCCAGAAGACATGAACAACCCCTTGTCCCATTATTGGATCTCATCTTCTCATAACACGTAATGGAAAAATTGGTTTCTCTTGCTAATAATTTTCTCCTGTTTGTAATTTGCTTTGAGAAGAGACCTTTAATTGTGTGCAAAACTGTCTGAAAAGCACCTTCTGGGATAACAGTGCAATTCTTGGAATTACACTGTCGTACGTATCTCTCCAAATCATGAGTTGCCTGTTGAGTTTTGTTTTCCATTAATAGCAACAGGTCAACACAGGACTCAGTAATTTAGGGATCTCTAGGTGAAGAGAATCCTGATTTGGATAATTACCTAAAGATACCTCATTGTGTTATTTCAAACTTTTTGAAGGAAGAGGAAATTTTGGATTGCAGCACACTGGGGCTGGGATGAATATAAGCATCTAATGTTACCCTAGTGCAGGTAGTCCTCAACTTACGACCACAATTGAGCCCAAAATATATGTTGCTAAGTGAGAAATTTGTTAAGTGAGTCTTGCCCCATTTTATGACTTTTCTTGCCACATTTGTTAAATGAATCCCTATAGTTAATCCCTATAGTTGTTACATTAGTAACACTGCCGTTAAGTGAATCTAGTTTCCCATTGAATTTGCTTGTCAGAAGGTCTCAAAAGATGACCCTGGGACAATGCAATCATCATAAATGTGAATCAGTTGTCAAGCATCCGAATATAAACCACGTAACAAATGGGATGCTGCAATGGTTATAAGTGTGAAAAATGATCATAAGTCACTCTTTTCTGTGCTGTTGTAACTTTGAGCAGTTACTAAGTGAACTGTTGTAAGTTGGGGACTACCTGTATACAGTGGAGGGGAATCTTTGAGCAGTTGACGGAGAGAAATCTGATTGGTGATTGGATAGTATACATGAAAAAGGTCCTGATAAATTCTCTGTTGCATTTTAGCTACTGCTTTGTCTTTTTGATGTTGTGATAATCCAACCCAACTTGCTTTTATGTCCATAACTGCCCCTTCATCATAGATACTTGACAGGAGATCAGTTCTCAAGTGAGTCTTCCTTGGAAGCCTATGCTCGTTGCCTGCGCATGGGATGCCGCTGTATTGAACGTGAGTGCTGGTCTCTTCCCATTTTCTTTCCTCATCTGCCTAGTAAGGATCAGGAAAGATTGATCTCATATTGAACGTAAAATAAATTGTACATGAGGGAAGGTCTAGATCAAGTGTATAGTGGAGTGTACACTCTACACACTGAATATCCAGATAAAAGGATCAGATTGCAAGAGATATGAAAGTGTCTACCTGGGATTTTATGAGATCCTACAAGTTAAAATTGATTATATTGAACTAGATCAGGGGTGTCAAACTTAAGGCCTTCGGGCTGGAACTGGCCCTTGGGGTGCTTAGATCTTGCCCACGAAGCTGCCCTGGAAACAGCGAAGGACTGGTCTGCGGTGCCTCTGCCAGCAAAAATGGAACTCAGGAGAGCTGTGTGCGGCTCTCCCAGGCTGCGTATTTCGCCATAACAGCCACCTGCAACCTCCTGCCAGTGAAAATGGAGCCCAGGGAGGTTGCAGCCAAAAACAGAGCGCAGACAGGCTGCACATGGCTTCCCCAAGCTCCTTTTTTGCTTGGAGAGGGTTGCAGGTGGTTGTTGCGGCTGAAAATGAAGCCTTGATGTGTGATGTTGAGCTGGCCACGCCTACTCCGGCCCCCCAAGGTCAAACACAACTCTGATGCAGCCCTCAGTGAAATCGAGTTTGACACCCCTGAGCTAGATAGATAGTCAAAAATAAAGGCAGTTTCAAATATACATATATAAACCTTGTCCAGAGTTCTTTGATGAGAGACCTCTGCAGGAGGATTTGCTTGTGACCTTGAAATGAAAGGTGCTCCATTAATCCCATGGAACTATGGGTATTATCAATGCATTGTAGGTTACTTTCCCAAATCTGTTTTAAAATGTCTCCCTTTGTGGTATCACTTTCACTCCACAGAAATAAGGAAAACATTTTCATTGAAACTTGTTCTACCTGGATTGTTAGGTGACAAACAACTATTTATATTTGTTTTTGGATGCAGCTTGATTTTATCTAAAACAATTAATCCCAGTGTTAACTTGTATTGATGAACTTTCAGTTACACTGGCTATCTTTTTTCAGTTGATTGCTGGGATGGTCCTGATGGGATGCCTGTGATTTATCATGGACACACATTAACTACAAAAATTAAGTTTTCTGATGTCCTTACCACCATCAAGGAGCATGCTTTTGTAACTTCTGAGTAAGTAAAACGTCAGTTGTAAAATCACGTTCTTTGGAAATTTGCCTTTTCCTAGCTTAGACACTTGAGCCCTAAAGGCCACCAGCCGGCAACGTGATACTGTGAGTTTGACACCCGTACACTAGATGGATCTCCTTAAGAGAATAGCCCTGTAACATACCTGTTGTGGCCCACCAGCAGAGCTGGCAGCAGAGTCAGACAGTGAGGAGGTTGGGGAAGGCTCAGACAAGGGCTCTGCATTGGAGGCAGAGATGGGGCCGAGGCCGTCTGGCAATGATTGGGTGTCTATGGAGCTAGACAGCAGTGAGGCAGAGCCAGTTCCCAGTGTGTGCATGTGCAGAGCTGCCAGAAGAAAATAACAACTCAGAAATCAGAGTCGACTTAGGAGTAAAGTCACAGGTGGAAGGTTGTTAGGAATATAATTCTAACGGTTGGGTTGGCAATATATAAGCTGTACCTGTTTCTTTAAATCATGCTGTAAAATGTGATTGGTTGCTGTTTTCCTCAATCGGCCATAAGAGGGAGCCAGAATGACTGTTAGCTCTCTGTTTGTTAGATGTTGGGCTGATCTGCTCTGTTTTGGAAGCTGGCTGTTAGAAAGTGCCGTGAGCTATTGTAAGTTTTNTTTTGGAACCTCTTCCGTAGGTGTGGCTTCCTTTCCGGGTCCACTGGTAGAACCTCTTCTAACCAGTTCGGTAGATTTGATGAACCGGTTCTACCGAATAGGTGCGAACTGGTAGGAACCCACCTCTGACTCTCTCTGTCTCTCTCTCTCTGCCCCCCTCCCCCCTTCTTCCCTCCCCCCTCCCGTTTATAATCATCCTCAGAGTTCTCCGGCAGATGACAAAATTACTTAGGACAGCCAGAATCTTTAAAATTCTTTAAAGGCAAAAAGAAATGTATAAAACAATAAAATGCCATGAAGAAACAACCAAAAGAAAAAAAGATAAAAATAAAACTCTGTCTGCTTAGTGTTGAAAGGATTTATGGTTGGTGCCAATCACGTTTCTCTAGGAAAGAGATGCTATGGATGGAGGCTCAAAATTGAGGAAACTTTGTTGCAGCCACTTCTCTTATTTCATTATTCTGAGAAACATTTTTAAAGTTTTATCAATACAGAAATTCAAGTAAATGTTTTTGTCCTTCAGTTCTAATAGAATGCTGTCTGCAAATTTCTAGTATTAATTTGGAGTGCTGAAGTTTGGATTTAGCAGATTGAGTGAAGGTTTGGGGTTTAAATCAGCCCTTCAGTGTTCTTGTTTTATGCCACTGATTGCACTGCCCTCCAGCGTAGTATTTTAATCTGTTTTGCTACAGAAAAGAAAATACATCTTTTTAATGCCATTTGACCTGTTCTCAGCATGAACAATTCATTTCTTATTTTAAATTAAATAAATACCACTGGACTGCCTTTTCTCAGCACGAACATTTCATTTTCTATTCAAAAAATATTTTATTTTAAACTTAAAATATACAATAGGAGCATTCAGAGCATTTGTTACAACTGATCCAATAATTTTAATAAAATAAAGTCTTTAATAAAATCTTTCAATCAATTTGTAACAAGTTTGTCTCCTCTAGATAAGTACAGTGCCTATCCTCCTAATCAACTTAGGAAGGCTGAGTATGCCTTCTGGGTTGTATTTACTGAGATCATGATCCATAATATAAAAGGAAAATAAGCTGATTTTTCTCATACAGAAACAGCTATTCTTGGCCTGGTGCAGATATAACTCTTGTTACTTATTTGTAATTAAGAATAAGCCATAGAATCATGTGTTTTTTTCTCCTTTTGGTGTCTTAATTATCTACCTCCTGACATCTCACACTATCATTAAGTGTACGCTTGTGGTAACTAAGTGTGCCAATTTGCAATACCGGTCAACATTTAGACTATGTTTAATGTTGGCAAAAATGTAACATTTTACAATCTCTTTGTTGAAGTAGAGTCATAACTGATCATCCAGAGCTTGCAGGACAATTCATATATGACCTGCTTCTGACTTGTTAACCAAACAAGCTTTTGCATTTCTACCAGGGCTGAGAAAGGAAAAAGGCTTGGCTTGTAATATTGAATCCAATAATTTTGGGGCTCAATCATATTTCAAAACCTGCAAAGAAGCCGCCTAGTATCTACTTCTTTCTTTCTTTTTTCTTCTTGAAGCAACATTATTTTTAACATCCAAGTATTTATCGGGAATTGCTGCCTGGGGAAATAACCTACATTATTTTATTTTTGTTCCCAGATGGTACCATGCTAATCTCACCCGGAATTCAGCTGAGCGCATGCTAATGAGGGTGCCCCGGGATGGAGCCTTTTTGGTGCGCAAGAGGAGTGAGTCAAATTCCTATGCAATCTCTTTTCGGTGAGTGCATTTGCCAAGTGCTGTGGATTAACTCTTATATCTGCACAAACTGAAATTATCTCCATTGTCTCATGGTTATTTAGAACAGGGGTCTCCAAACTTGGCAACTTTAAGACTTGTGGGCTTCAACTCCACAAGAAGTTGCCAAGTTTGGAGACTCCCGATTTAGAAAATTAATTGCTGGGCTGGTCTTTTGTCTTCTAGGGCCGAAGGAAAGATCAAGCATTGCCGCGTGCAGCAGGAGGGTCAGACAATCATCTTGGGCAATTCAGAATTTGACAGCCTGGTGGATTTAATCAGCTATTATGAAAAACATCCATTGTACCGCAAAATGAAGTTAAGATATCCTATTAATGAAGAAACACTGGAGAAGATTGGAACAGCGGTGAGTATGGCTACACTGGGTGGAAGCCAATATCTTTCTTCTGGATTGAAGTTAGGACCAGTGGTGGGTTGCTCTTACCGTCGCTACTGGTACACTGCTCACGGGGCCACACGTCCTGTTCGGACACGCATGCACAATCTATCGCCCCTGTGTCGCCCAGCTGCTGGTTGGGGCTCGCACAGGTGCTGCACACTGTGCGGACGTGCGCAATTGGCCGGTTGCTCTAAAAACAGGTATAGAACGCGGGCAGCTGGGCCAAACGAGCCACCGTACCTGTACACTATCAGTTGCTCCTGGCTACTACTGGTGCGGCTGTACTGGACCATACCCGCAGGAACCCACCACTGGTTAGGACTATACGTGGTGTTTTTAGAGTTTCACTTCCTGAACTCTTTCACGTCCTTAATTAGAGGTTTTGTGGTACGGCTGGGTACCCAAAAGGCCTTAATTTTTTTCTCCTAATCTGATAACTGACCAAGTTCCTCTTTCTGCAGAGGGATTTTTAAATTTTATTTTATTTATGTATTTATTTATATCCTACCTTTATTATAAATAACTGAACACATGCAATACTCTTCCTTTCTCCTACAACAACTACTCTGAGGTGAATTGGCCTGAGCGAGAGTGACTGGCCCAAAGTCATCCAGCCAATTTTCATGCCATGGATTTATTTCTCCTGTATTCTGTTTTATCTCTTTAATGATTCTGCTACATTTTTAAACAGTTTTGTCTAAACAATTAGCAAATGAGAAGTGTAAAAGGATTGTATTGCATTTGTTTTTGTTAGGAACCAGATTATGGTGCACTATATGAAGGACGGAATCCGGGATTTTATGTGGAGGCCAACCCTATGCCAACCTTTAAGGTATTTTTCCTAACTCCTTGGTTGATATCTTGATTAGGCTAATAAGAGTTAGCGAATTTTCCTACCAGGCTTGCAAGTCTTTTTAAGATCGTTTGTAGAAACTATAAGAACAGTTTTGCTTTATATAGCTGTATGTTCTCAGCAATAGAGTAGTTTGTGTTAAAAAGTTGCAGGTGTGTGCATGTAATAAACTCCCACAAACTCAACAGTATAGTTTTGATTTGCATGGGGATTTTCTATGAATGTTGTCATAATTTTAAGAAGCACAATATCCTAATTCCAATCAGAGAATGATATGATTTTCTAATTCTAATTAGCACAGTGAAATTTACCAGCTGGCAGAAGCAGGAATGAATTTGAATTATGTGCTGTAATTTCCCTATTCTTGCATACATTTTTACGAGGAAGGTTTTAAAAATGGATCAGGATGTTATTTTTCTACATGTTTCCTTTCTGCAAATGTTACTTTACTACATTGTACATATGCAGTCACACTTTTCTACCCCAGGGACACTAGCAAAACTATCTGGTTTGTGTATGTATTGGGGCTGGAGGGACATCTGAAGTAAACATTAAACCTGAGATGGAATCAGTTGCCAAAAATCAGTGAGGTAGGAAGTACATATATGAAAACTGTGATAAAAGTTATTTTACAAGTAATAATTTTACCATAATTAACAAAAATACCTACCCCTACCCAAAATCCAAGAAAAACAATGTAAGATAGTTACCTTGTCCATATATGTATATGTCATAATCATGTTACAGATAGCCCTTGAGTCATGACTATAATGGAGCTGCCCATTAGGGTCTTAAGTAGTGATGATTGTAAAGCGGGCCATCGCCTGACCATCCTGATTTTAAAACCTTTTTTTGCAGTGGTTGTTTAGCGAATTCTCATGGTTGTTACGTGAATTATAGTTGTTAAGCAAGCCTATTGTTTGCTTGTGGGAATTTTTCCTGAAAAGGGATAGTAAATACCAGCAAGAACATAGTAAATCATGGTCATGTGACTGCAGGGGGCTGCAAACAGCTGTAAAGGCAAGCTACTTGCCAAGGACCCAAAATGCAGTCAGGTGACAGTTTTTGGAGCTTCAGGATTGGGTCACATGCTACCTTTTGGTGGTCCGTCATAAGTTTGTAAGTCAAGAACTACCTGTAATACACCTTTGTTGACTTTCCTGATAGAGATCTTGACACATCCCTTTCCAAATGTAAACTCCCCCCTGTTGAGGACTCGCAAAGTCCTCGACTTATGACCTGGCTGCTAGCAACAAGCCAGGCGGCGCCCTGATTGGCTGGGGTGCGGCGTCGCTTGTTGCTAGCCGCTAGGGGCGCGCTCATTGGCTATCCCTGCTTGACAGCTCTGTTTAAATAGCTGTCAAGCAGGGAGAGTGCTGAATCGCCTGTAAATAGTTGCTTTTGAATAAACCTCTTGTTTGACAGTCCTGGCTCCCGTCTCCTCCTTCCGTCGATCTTCAAAACCCCCCTCTCTTTCTCTCTCTCTCTCTCTCTCACACACACACACACATTCATCTTGTCAAAAGTAGATAGAAAAAGATATCTGGACAAGTGGATTCTTCTATAACTCCTTAGCAAAACTGCTTCACTTTCATGGATAGGTACACCCATCCCAGTTATTGCCATAGTTACCTTGCCACATTCTTGTGCCTTTCTTTTAGTGCGCCGTCAAAGCTTTGTTTGACTACAAAGCACAGCGAGAAGACGAGCTCACCTTCACAAAAAATGCAATCATCCAAAACGTAGAAAAACAAGAAGGAGGCTGGTAGGTATAGTTATTGTTCTGAAGATAATGAAATCTTTCTTAATGCTCCCCCAGAAAAGATTTGATGATTCCTTCATTTTTGATATTAGTTTAATGGAAGTTTGTTTCATTATGTGATTGAAGCACGTAAAACGAGTTTATATATTTGTATGCCTATGGCTAAAGACATGTTTATCAACAGAGTCACGTGTGTGCAGCTGCTGGACTATTGACATATTACTAAAAAGTACTTAGGAAAGAGTTAAATTGAGTAGGAAATGATAAGCTTTGTTATTTCTTACCCTACCACTTCTCCCTGATATATTTTCTCTGCTGTGCACAGCATATTGTTTCCTCATTATATCTTAATATTTATCCTGATCCTGCTTTGAATTAAGCTTCAGGTTCATGGTCACTTTAACTTGATTTCAAACTACCATGTTTTTCCAAAAATAAGACAGGGTTTTATTTTCTTTTGACCCCCTGAAATAAGCGCTTGGCCTTATTTTCGGAGAAGTCTTATTATTTTTGAGGTGCAGGAGGTGGTGAGTATGGTCACCTCATGGCTGCTGCTGTGTTGCAATATTTTTGGGGAGGGCTTATTTTCAGGGGATGGTTTATTTTAGAGCATGCGCTTAAAAGCCTGATTGGGTTCATTATCTAGGGAGGTCTTATGTTCAGGGAAACAGAGAATTTTGATAAAATAATGATTTCCTACACACAATAGAAAGGGGCACTTCAGGATTTTTTTCCCCTTCAGTTTGAGCATTTCATTATTTAGAGAGCATGCTCCCTTCTTCTTCACTATTGATGTTTCCTCTGCTCAATTAGTTCAGTAACTTCTGCAATTAAGTTTAATGCCACCAATTTCAACTTTGATAACTGCATTTGGTATGTAATGTAACATTGCTGTAGAATGTGCACATATATGCATGAGCTTTGAATTTTTTTCAGGTGGAGAGGAGATTATGGGGGTAAGAAGCAACTATGGTTTCCGTCTAATTATGTAGAAGAAATAACTAGTCCAACTGGCCTGGAGCCTGAGAGAGAGGTGAGTTCTCGTTTGGAAAAAGAACAGAGAACTATAACATTTTAAAGTCCCTTTTTTTTAAAAAAAAAGTCTGAATATAAGCAGTCCTCGACTTACAACAGTTCATTTAGTGACCATTTGAAGTTACAACGGCACTGAAAAAAGTGGCTTATGACCATTTTTCACACTTATGACCATTGAAGCTTCCCATGGTCACGTGAATAAAATTCGGATGTTTGGCAACTGAATTATATTTATGACGGTTGCAGTGTCCCGGAGTCATGTGATTCCCCTTTTGCAACCTTCTGTCAAGCAACGTCGATTGGGAAACCAGGTTCACTTAACAACCATATTAGTAATTTAACAACTGCAGTGATTCACTTAACAAATGTGGCAAGACAATTCGTAAAATGGGGGCAAAACTCACTTAATAAATTTCTCACATAAATTTTGGGCTCAAGTGTGGTCATACGTTGAGGACTGCGTTGCATTGCCTTGAAAGAAGGTGACCTGAAAGACCCCATCCTTTTGTCTAAGGTTGTCCACCCATCTTATATGAGCAAACATGCCATCAGTAATGTAGCTATAGCTAGCTCAGTCTCTCTTGGTATGCTCTCCCTCCCCCTCCCCTCCTCCTCCTCCATTTTGCCCATAGTTTTGTTTAGCTTTCTGTTCTTACTATCCTTAAGTGCTCATTTTATGTGTTAGGTTCTCACTCTGACCCTTGACTGGTTTATTCTTTTTACTGCATTATAACCCCTACTTCAGATGGATGCTTGCTGTGGCAAACAGAGTAGAGATGCCTTTAGGAATGAATAATGCATGTGTAGCTCATCTGCATGAATCATGTGCACAAAGGCTTTAAGCTAGAAGTGTTTTGCCCCTCTTGGTTGTTTACCTTCGTGTACCATCATTTAGAAACACAGTTTTTTGCCAATGAAGGGCAGCTGTAACTAACTCTTTTCCCTTTAAACATCATAACGGTAATGTTCAAATTTATTTTGCTGGTGTTCAGCATTTAATATCGATTGATCTTTGCTACCCAGAAATTGCAGGGATGTAGGAAGATATGGAAACTGAATAGTTGCAGCTAGAAGCAAAAAAAGGAGAGAGAATGTCACGGGGAAATACAGTGGTAGCTAAGGCAAAGCAAAGCATTTTAATAGTTTCGTAATATGCTAGACTGATTTTTTTAATATGTGTTTTTAAAAATAAAATGCATTGATCTGAATAAACGTTATGGATTGTCCTGAAATTTGTATGGCAGAGCAAACTACAAAATGTAAAATCTTTACAATATACTGTGATTTTGCTTCCAGCAACAGCTAGATGAAAACAGCCCTTTGGGAGATCTACTCAGAGGAGTACTGGATGTACCATCATGTCAGATTGGTAAGTTATGGAGTGAAAGGGGGGTAAAAAAAACCCAATGTTATGCCCTCTTTCTGTAGAACTTCCTTCCTTGTTAGTAAGCCCTGTAGATGCAAAACCAGTTTGTTTTTTAAATAAGCAATTGTAAATCGATCAGTGACACAGTCTAGCATCCTTGTCTTCACCCAGACAAATGTGCAAAAATAGTGAGATAGATTTAGAACTAAAAGCTAGAGACAGTGAGATAAGGACAACAGTACAAAGAATTTTAAAACAATTCCTGTTCCACAGAAGAACATTTAAATTAGGAGCTAGAGGCTGAGAAATTCAGAACTTTATGAAAACAGTCCAATGTGATATGTATAACAAGAAATGAGGCAAAATGTATGTTTTCTGTTCTTTGTTTCAACTTCTAAATTTTATTACTGGGTGATGCTATTGAAACTATTATTTTGACTGTAACCCTGATGATTGTAGTCATTTATTCATGTTGATGATTATGAAAATATGTTGACAATCTCCTATATTTTTGTTCCTTGACATAGCTATCCGCCCTGAGGGGAAGAACAACCGTATGTTTGTGTTCTCCATTAGTATGGCATCTGTCTCACGTTGGTCGTTGGATGTTGCAGCTGATACTCATGAAGATCTGTTGGATTGGGTGAAGAAGATCCGTGAGGCAGCCCAAACTGCTGATGCCAGGGTAAAGGATGCTTGCTTTTAAAAACTTTTCAGAGTTAAAAAAAAAAGTCCTTGTATATACTTCATACAGATCACAGTTTGATGAGTATAAAGCTTCTTTCTCACAGGTTGACCTTGAAAAAATTACCATATTTTTTGGAGTATAAGATGCACTTTTTTCCCTCAAAAAAGACCTGAAAGTGAAAATCTGGGTCATCTTATACAGCATTTTTGGCCTACTGAAAACCCACCCCTTTTGCAAAAATGGATGTGCAGAGGGTTTGGGAGGCTTGCAAAGTGCTCCAGGGGGCTGGGGAGGGCAAGAACAAGCTCGTTTTTGCCCCCCCCCCAGTTCCCAGGAGCTCTAAGAGCCTCCCAAAGCTCTGCATGCCCCCCCCCTTTTTTTATTTTTGCAAAAAAACGAGGCAGAGGGTTTGGGAAGCCTGCAGAGTGCAAAAACTTTTTTTTTTAAATTTACCTCTTCAAAATCATGGTGCGTCTTATACTCTGGTGTGTCTTATAGTCCGAAACGTACAGTAACTTGTTTCATGGGCTGAATATAGCTTGGGGAAATTGCTTTATCATTTAGAAACTCCACTTTTCACACTGAAGACCGGGTGGTAGGACTAAGAATCCTTATTAAAGCACCTATGGGAATGGCTCAATCCCCAATTTTATTCTTGGTTATGAATGTATTGATGAATGTTGCTGTTTCTCATAACCTATAATTGGGCAAATTGTGCAATCAACATTGTACTAATTCCAAAGCTATTCATCTTTATCATGAGCCCTGAAATCTGTTTTAACAATTATTTTGGAAGCTCTCTGAAGGGAAGATGATGGAACGGAGGAAAAAGATAGCTTTGGAGCTTTCAGAGCTTGTAATCTACTGTCGTCCTGTTCCCTTTGATGAAGATAGTAAGTATTCATGACTCTGGACATACTTGTTTATCTATTTATTAAATTTATATGCCACCCATTTTGCTATCCAGAGCAAAGGTGGCTAACATGCAATAAAAATAAATTACTGTACAAAAACAATTATAAATATAGAAATAGTTAACATTATAAAAATTAAATAGATTTAAAAATGTACATTATCCCAAAATTAGACTTTTAGATTATTATCACAAAATTAGATTATCCCTAATTAAAATCTAAGGATTGGTGAGCATTGTGATTTAATAATTAATTGTATCAGCAGGTTGATACTGATTTCTTTTTGTCCCAATGTGATTAAGAAAACTCTCGTGTATATTTTACTGCTATTGTGAAAAAATGCAAAAAAATAATTCCAAAACTAAAATGAATGAGCTTTTTCAAGTTTATTTATTTTGAGATATTGTATCAAAATCTTACAAATATAGTAAAATTGCATCATTATTCAGTACTTCGGGATTTGCTTTTGTTACTCTAATCTTCCTGACTATCCTTACTTAAAATATATACCATAGTGAAGAAATATACATCTCATTTTTAAAAAAATCTTCTCATTCATTCTGTGAGGAATTAAGATTTTTTCAAATTAGCATCTCCCTATTCTCTACAGAAATCGGCACAGAGCGAGCCTGCTATAGAGATATGTCATCTTTTCCTGAAACCAAAGCAGAAAAGTATGTCAACAAGATCAAAGGGAAGAAATTTCTGCAGTATAACCGATTACAGCTTTCCCGCATATATCCCAAAGGACAGCGCCTGGACTCTTCCAATTATGATCCCCTTCCTATGTGGATCTGTGGCAGCCAGTTGGTGGCGCTCAACTTTCAAACACCAGGTGAGGCCAACTCTTTACTGAATATTTTATGGTGGTGACTGTGCAGAGGTGGGTTCCTACCAGTTCACACCTATTCGGTAGAACCAGTTCGTCAAATCTACCGAACCGGTTAGAAGAGGTTCCACCAGTGGACCCAGAAAGCAGGCCACACCTACAGAAGAGGTTCCAAAANCCTATTTTTCTACTTGCATTTTTACATGCTGTTGAACTGCTAGTTTGGCAGAAGCTGGGGCATGTAACGGGAGCTCACTCCATTACGCGGTGCTAAGGATTCGAACCACCAAACTTTCTGATCGACAAGCTCAGCATCTTAGCCACTGAGACACTTTATAGGATCACAAAAGAGTATAGTTAATTTTGCAGTGGAGTACATGCCCTCTCCTAATTCCAATCTAGATTTTTACTATTTTGCTAAAATCACTTGACATTTATATTTCTTGCTGTAGCACAAGAAACTGGCTGAGGGTAGTGCTTATGAAGAAGTACCATCATCTGCAGTGTATTCGGAGAATGACATCAGCAACTCAATAAAGAATGGAATTCTGTATCTGGAAGACCCAATCAACCATGTGGGTGTCTTTGTATTAGTTTACTGTTACTTGGAGCTGACTGATTTGTACAATTTTACATAAACTGTTGTTCTAGGGCCGTATATACACCCCTCCTAATCTGGACCTCAGTTCCCCAGAAATTGCCAAGCCTGGTTACAATTTACTTTATAATTTTAATACAGAGTGCGTAACCTTTCAAGGACTAGGTCTTCTGAAATCTTTGCATATAGTCTCCAGAGTCACCAGTGTTAAAAATTGTAAAAAAAAATATGTGGCAGACAAGGCTGCACTTAACTTTTGGACAGTGGATCAATAGCATGCTGTTCCATATCTATGGCCTGGAAAAAAATATTAACTCCTGCTTTAATTTAATATTTAATTAAATATATTGGATTTTTAAAATTATTTATATTATTGTTGTGACTTCAAATCAGTTTTGATTTCTGACTGGCTGCTTGCAGCTTTCTTGGCATCCTTTGTCTGAAATGGGTTATCAAGTGCTTCCTTCTAGGCTGTGAGTCACTGGCCCAAGGTCGCCCAGTAAGACAGGACTGAAACTCACAGTCCCCTACTTTTGACTCCTGCACCTTTAATATAGCAATAGCATTTAGTCAGCATATTGCCCCCAACAATTTGGGTCCTCATTTTACTGATCTTGGAAAGATGGAAGGCTGAGTCAACCTTGAGCCAGTGAGAGTCAAACTGCCGAACTATTGGCAATCAGCACTCAGAAGAATTAGCCTTGCTGACTGTGAATGAAAGGAATTCACAGTCCTGTAAATAAAAGGAGGTTTGCCAGGACCAAGACTCTGCTTCTTGCTTTTTAAGGTAGCCTGGGTCAGAACAACAGGTTGCTACAGTAAAAATGTGTCCGGGATTAAAAACGCCCATAAACTTGCTTTTGAGAATGATATAAAGCTATTACAAAAAGTAGTCTATCAGTCTGAAAAAAATTAGCTTAGATAGAAAATAGAAAAGGAGTATACGATTATGACATTTACATATGTCTGGCTTGGTTATAAACCAGTCAAGCTTATTCTTTATGGTAGTTATTTGGACAAAAGGTTTGGGTGGGGGAGCCCTACTCGGAGGAGATTTAAAAGAAACTTCACTACACTCCAATTTCTTGGCCCATTGTTAGAATTAAACAGTTTTGTATTTCCCGTAGCTTGCAGACTTGAAAATTTTATTTGAGGAAGGTGTCAAACAACTCTTAGTTTTAATATCAGCAAATCATTTTTGAACATTCCATTTTTAACAACCATTGTTTAGAAGTTAATTCATGAGCGTAACCCTTCTTTTGCTCCTATTGTCATACCACATCTTCGTAGTCCAGATTAGTGAATTTTATAAAGCTTTGTCCTTGAAGGAGACTATTCCAGGAACAACTTAATTACTGATGTATATTTCTACAGGACTGGAATCCTCATTATTTCGTCTTGACTAGCAGCAAAATCTATTACTCTGGAGAAACAACCAGTGATTTAGGAAATGAAGAGGAGGAAGAGCAAAAGGAGGTATGTGAAAGAAGATATCCTGGAAGACTAGGCAAGCAAACATGGCTGAATTTTAATGGTAAAAACAGTTAAATAGTGGATTATTCTGCCTAGACCAGTGGTAGATACACCCTCTTTAAAGATTTTCAAGCAAGGGCAGGATGGTTTTCTGTACAGTATTTTTGCATTGAGCAAGGGGTTGGATTAAATTGCCCATAAGATCCCTTCCGTTACATGTGTTCTGCATTTATATCATTTTATCACATAATGAGAAGGAGTTGGATATCTTCATTCCTATTAGTCTATGATGGGAAGAAATCTGGAAGAATCTACTTTTTCTTGAATTGGAAGGAGCTGTGTGTTTATCTTGATTTTCCTGTGGGAAGAATGTAGCTTTGTAATGATATTTCCACTTAACACTGATGAAGTTGAAAGCTAGCACTAACGTCAATCTGGAAAGGGTTAGAAGAAGGGCATGTTTATACTTTCCGCTTGCAATCATGAAAGGACTATGAAGAAGAGGGCTGGAGAAAATTGTCTGGCATACATGCGCTTTGTAGAACTCTCTTGAGGCTTCAGGTTTGATTTGATTTGAAATAATTGTTCAGAACATGTAGAACAAAGGCAGCACTTGTCTGAGACTCATTAAAACAGCTTACCCTTGTCCCTAGCATACAGAAGACCTTCCATGGCAGTTATGCAATCCTAGAAACAAATACAGGTGCTTTTAATGAGTCATTAAATGCTGCTTTCACAATCCTGAATGTGAACCAGCTCTTCCCAATTGAATCCAAAACTTTGCCAAGTCCCAATACTTTGGATTTTGCTGGCTGGCTCGCTAGTCACTCACGCTTGGAAATCTCATTATCCTTTTTTCTGGCAAATGTATTAGAGGAGGGTTGCTTATAGGGCTAAGAAAGAAGATCTTTGGTCCTTTGTTTCTGCTTTTGAAGAATGAAAGAAAAGAACTCTGGGTAGTGCGTACAGCCAGAAACAATTATGAGTTATAAACAAAAAAGGCTACTTTATACAACTTCCTAAAATGGTTTGTTATTTGCTTTAAGTGAATTGTTTTCTGAAATGTTAGCATTACATGTTGCCTGGAGGCAAGAGATACATGATTTGAGCCCTATCTGTTTGTTTATACTGTGGTACAATAACAGAATGAAGGTATTTGGGGAGACCCGGGAAAGTTTCCTGTTACGTTAAACCTTGGGTTTGGATGTCTATACTTGGAAAAGAGAGATTGCTCTTCTTCCAAGCTAATATAATTGTGTCTTTCTACCTTCTCGTTCAGCCACTTTTAGTAGTCTGTAGGCTACTAAATCAAGTGCTTGTTTTTCATTTCCATGGCAGACAAGCAACAGCACTGAACTCCATTCCACTGAAAAGTGGTTCCATGGCAAACTGGGAGCAGGGCGTGATGGTCGCCACATAGCAGAGAGGCTGTTAATGGAATATTGTGTAGACACTGGAGTCCCTGATGGTTCATTCCTGGTGCGAGAAAGTGAGACCTTTGTTGGCGATTACACACTTTCCTTCTGGTAAGTGTCCTTTGGGCATAGAATTGTTATCTAAACTGCTCACATTCAATAGGGGAATAATACAATCATTAGTTCTGCATCTATGAGATCCAAAGAGTTTATGTCTGTTAAAGAAATCATACATTTGTGTATTTGTCCTGATTTAAGTGGGCAAAGGGACGCGGAGGCTCAGTGGCTAAGATGCTGAGCTTGTCAATCAGAAAGGTCGGCAGTTTGAATCCTAGCACCGCATAACAGAGTGAGCTCCCGTTACTTGTCCTAGCTTCTGTCAACCTAGTGGTTCGAAAGCACGTAAAAAATGCAAGTAGAAAAATAGGGGCCACTTTTGGTGGGTGGGAAGGTAACAGCGTTCCGTGCACCTTTGGTGTTTAGTCAAGCCAGCCACATGACCATGGAGATGTCTTTGGACAGCGCTGGCTCTTCGGCTTTGAAACGGAGATGAATACGCCCCCCTAGAGTCGGGAACAACTAGCACATATGTGTGAGGGGAACCTTTACGTTACCTTTTCAAGTAAGAGTTGGAAAAGATGCCAAATAGAAGGATGCCATTCTCATTCTTGTTTCATTATCTGTAGTTCATGCAATATCTAAACTTATCCATTATCCAAGAAAAAATGACTGCAGTAGTAATTTGCAAACTTTTACATTACAAGATTGTTAATGAAAGATTTTGCAGACTACCATGAAATCAGCCATTTTAAACTAAAAGGCTTTATCATAGAGAAAGTAGAGGTGGTTGTTTTATTTAGCAAAAGAGTAAAGAATTTGCTTGTAGAGTTTCTGTTTTTATAGGGTTCTTTAAAAAACTTCCTACACACTCACTTAGAGCAGCAGGAGGATTTGCTTCTTCAGAATCCTCGGGGGCTTTTCTATGGGACAAAAAAACAGTAGGGTCAAAATAGGGAAAGTAAGAAGCAGAGAGCCTTGATCCAAAGAAGCCTGTTACGGTGACAGTGCCCTGCTTCTCCTGTGGAGAGATGACCAGCTCTGAATCCACTAAGATTTATGAGTGGAAGAAGAACTTTAAGATTTAAACCTTGGGGCTAACATGCATGGCTTCAGTCCTACTCTTTGCTCTTGTTGGTTTCCAGTATATTGGCTGTTTCTAATATTGCTAGTAAAATTAGCTTGTCAAGAGTTGTGTTCTTGAATCTCTGACCTCAGGTTTTCCGAATCAACAGTTGTCTCGGTAGAGCTTGACAAAACAGTAGAAGCTTTGGACTCCACATGTTCACTTGTAATACATGTGGCTACTTTATCCTCTTTGTTTGGGGAATATGAAATAGGTTTTCAACATTGCACAAACACCTAAGAATGCCTTGAGAAACAAGGAGAAGAATTCACTGCAAGAAAGCAGAATAGGTCTGTCTCTCCCCCCCCCCCCCAAATACACAGGCTGTTAAAGAAAGTAAGGTATTGGATTACCAAATATGCAGACCTTGGTCATTACCTGACTCATTCTCTCATATTTATTTTATGGCAGTATAATTAGTGGTGTTGGGCAAACATAATCCATAATAAGATACTAAAAAAAAACCAAACTTAGGCTGCCACTCTAAATATATCCACTGGAAAGTAAGGTGCACTGAATATTATGAGTTTATCTTTGGATAACCATGTCTAGGGCAACACAATTGATCCTTTTTTGTTTGTTTGTTTGTTTCTCTTACACAGGCGCAATGGGAAAGTGCAGCACTGCCGGATCCATTCTCGGCAAGATGCCGGCAGCCCCAAATTCTTCCTCACTGATAACCTGGTGTTCAATAGCCTCTATGATCTCATTACTCATTACCAGCAAGTGCCACTAAGATGCAATGAATTTGAAATGAGGTTGACAGAACCCGTGCCCCAGACAAATGCACATGAGAGCAAAGAGTAAGTCAATGAAGGAGTCAGGTTCTATCCTTGGTCTGTCTGTCTCTCTAAGTGGTGGGTTTCGAAAATTTTTGGAACCTACTCTGTGGGTGTGGCCTCCTTTGTGGGAGTGGCTCGCTGGCCATGTGACCTGG